GCAGTGGCAGTGGCAGTGGCAGTATCAGTAGCCGTAGCGGTAGCAGTAGCAGTAGTAGTAGTAGTAGTAGTAACAGTAGTAGTAGTAGTAGTACCAGCAGAAGTAGTGGTAGTGGTAGTGGCAGTGGTAGTGGAAGTGGTAGTGGTATTGGTAGCAGTAGCAGTAGCCGTAGTAGTAGTCGTCGTGCTGGTAGTAGTAGTAGTAGTAGCAGCAGTAGTTTTAGTAGTAGTTGAAATAGTAGTTGTAGTAGTAGTAGTAGTAGTAGTAGTAGTAGTAGTGGTGGTAGTGGCAATGGTAGTAGTAGTAGTAGTAGTAGTAGTAGTAGTAGTAGCAGCAGCAGCAGCAGTAGCGGTAGTGGCAATGGGTAGTGGTAGTGTTAGGTCGCGGTCGCGGTCGCGGTCGTGGTCGCGGTGGTGGTAGAGCATCAGCAGCAGCAGCAGGAAGAGCTGCAGCAGCAAGAGCTGCAGCAGCTGTTTGCTGGGCTGGCATGGTGACGGGGACGTGGACAGGGGACGCGGACCGGGGCGAGGACCAGGAGCAGCGGGCTCAGTGGCACAAGCATCAGCAGCAGCGTTAGCCATCGAAGTAGGCTTGGGCCTAAGAGTTTGGGGTTTGGGCTACAGAACCTGCTCGGGATCAAGGCCCTGAAAGGCTTAGGGCTTGTGATCATCAGTCGATCGCCTGGCTGTTGTCATGTCTTCGCCCCTGCTCGTCTCGCTTTGGGTTTTGCTACCCAGCACAACTAGAGATGTCCCAAGCATTGGGCCCATTTGGCAAGCAGCAACACTTCTCTGCAAAGGCCTGCGCATACTGTGCAGTATATACCAAAACCATGTATCCAAAACCATGTTCGAAAAGACTGTCGTCAATGAAAGAGCCCTTCAGCTGCCCAGTGACTTACATTGCATGTTGGGTCTTGTATGCTACTACGGTGGCCGTAAACTTCGTTCTAAGCCAAGGCACCTTGCACTCCTCTTCGTTCAGCCAGGAACATGCAATAACATGCAGAAACCCTACAGCACCAGACACTCCACTTCCCAGAAGCAGAAACCTTATCGTGATCACAAGCCCGGCCAGAAGCTCAAATTTCCGTCTTGCCAAGCAACAATGTTGCCCATGTACCCTCCAACAGGAGCACTCCACGCTCCAACACGCAAGAAGACATCACCATCAAAACAAACCAAGACCACACTAAGAAGTCAAGAAGCAAAACCAACACAACATTAGGAAAGCGCTTTTTCAACTACTATCAAGTTCAACCGAAACAACGCCACAATAACAGAAAAAAGCAACGTCTGAAAACGAGAAACAGATCCTACAAGACGTCCTCAGTATGTGAGCAGCGTAGAGCTGTCTGCAGTAGAATAGCTACACACACAGGCACTGCGACTGGGTGACAAGGAGTTCTGGTCACTCGCCATCGTCTGCATGTGAGCCAACACCGACCCCTGCCTCTTCATGCGGCGCACGGAGACCAACTTGGTACATGCGGTGCTTCTGAGCTTCTTAACCAAAGAAAGCTTCCGAGCAGCAGCAAGGTGTGCAGAGGGCTGAGCTTGAGAAGACCGACTTTTCAATGACGTTATCAGGTTTGCCATGTCGTCTTCGATGTTAAGTTTCCTTTGCCACAAGAACATCTGACAACTGTGACCGGCAGCGACAGCTAAGGCTGCGGCGCAACACTGCAAGCAAGCACATCCTGCTAGGTCTCATCCAAGGAGATAGACTCTTCTGGCTGATGTGGCCACACTTGGCGACTACTTGGGCTGCAGTGTTGAATCATTCTGCGAAGTCCCGTGGTGACGAGAACAACTGGAGGACTCGGCATTGTTCGAATGCTTTCGACGCACAGCACAAGAGGCCCGGTGCAGCAAATGCGTAGGTCCTTGTACACTGACACCTGGAAGTTCTGAAACTGAGATTGGCGTGGACCACGTGTATGCAAACATACCAGCTGACCTGATCAGGACCTGCATCCTCTGCGTAGGCTTCTCGCGGGAGGCTCTTGATACACACCGGGACCTGCAGTGCTCTAGTCAACGTGTGCTGGATTTCGTCTTGCATGGGCCCTAAAACATTAGGAGTCCTCGTAAATCGAAGAGCAATGTCAGCAGGCTACACGGGCACTTAATGCCACGTATGCCACCGACAACAAGCATAAGCACACGAATCGGTGTCCCTAGCAAGATCCGCGGCACAGCCGTTGTGATTGGTACTAAACCAGTCCTCCTTGAAGGCGTGCGCCGTGGAGCACTTATTGGGGCAAGTATGCGCGAAGTTGGTTTTTGCTGTTGGCTTCCTTCTGGTGTCCCAGGCCGTCACGAGCCTGGCTGTGAAATGCTGGTGCGCTTGTTAAGCTGTCGGCCATTCTGGCGGACATTGATTGCCGCGAGCAGTGTTGACAGATCCAACCTACGCTTCCCGGCGCACGGCTGACGACTGAGGCCAAAGCCGTACAATTTTCCGCTTTGTCGTATCTCTTCTGTGCTCCCAGCATGTAGTAGCCTCCATGCCGTCTGCGAGCACTTTCCATGTTAACCTTGACCTAGATGCGCCGAGCAGCTGATGGCACCCCAAACGTACACCTTAGACTCATGCAATGATACTACTCGATACTTGCCGTGCAAGCTCGCCAGACTCGCCTCGCCACGCACAGTGACGCAGGCGGAGCTCTCGGGACCACAGCTGCAACTGCGTGCACACAGAGAGGCCTCCTTCAACAGCTTGACAGCCCATGCAGGTCCATGCAATATCATCGCTGTCAAGGGGCTCCTGACCCTCAAAGTGCTTGACTGGCGTCGGAGCTGTGACCGCCTGACAAACAGAGTCAAATCATGTTCGCGTTTCTCGTTTTGACACTTCCCGTCAACCAAGGATGCGACGAGCTCGCTTTCAGGCACTGCTGCACTGAACCCGTCGACTCCCAGCTGACCGGCCTAAACCGGACGATCAAAGGACAAGCGACTCGGCAACCGCAGTTGCTGCCTTGTTGTTGCCCCAAGCAAAGAGCGCTCCTCTTTGGGAAAGCGCGACACAGTGGTTCCTTGGTGCATGACCCATTGTGTAAACACGCAATACCTGGCAAGGCTTCACGCGTAAGTGCAGCTGCAGGTCAGGCCACACGCTATCTGGACGATGATTTCCTGCCTGTTACAAGTGCAATCTCAATGCTCGCACCTTACAATTGCGGTGAGAGCCACTCGGGCAACTGCTTGATGCCGCCAATGATGGGAGCCGGCTTCAGCATTTTATCCTGTGGGCAATATGGTGTCCAGCTCTTCTGCCGTGAAAGGTTTGGGCCTGGTTGTGGCAGGCTCGACCCAGCTGGCCATACTCATTGTTCGTACCCCTGACAAGGCAGATCAAGCCGTGCAACGCAGCCCCGAGTCTCGAGCAGAGAAGAGACCGCAACATGAGGAGAGCAAGGACATGAGAAGGTCTACGTCACCTCCACTACGACATGTAAGAGAATGCGCGAAACAGACGGAGCATTGACAACATCCATGCCAGGGTGTCCAGCTGTAGATGACACCCTCGTCTGTCAGGAGCATTGAGTGCGCCTTTCCAACAGCGACCTTCCATGAATGCTAGCACGAGCCCATTTGCGTTGCGGAGTGGTGGTCAGTGCCTGCACCACAAAAGCATGATTGTCTGCTGGAGCTGCCTTCGTGGATTCATGCACGCTTTTCGACGTAGATCTCGAGTCGACAAAATCATGAACCGTCGCGTTCACACCCCGAGTCTTTCACCGGAAGCGATCGCAACGACATGAGGATGCAGCTGGATCGGCTGGCTCTAATGGAGACTGGCGACAAGAGATAAACTGTCAGATGGTGCATCAGTGGCTCATCCCGATTACCTACATTGACAGAAACTGCACAACAATCGCGAGCGATTATCCTGGTTACACCTGCCTGTCGGACCAAGTTTTCTGTCATTTCGGACCAGAACCCGACTTGCACGGCGCGTGCATGATGCAGGCAGGCACTCGGCAGTCACAAGCAAACCAGCTTGCTAGAAACCCTCTGCAGCATGTTCTCTGCCCGTCTCCTTGCTGTCAATCAAGCTCTGCGAAACTGTGTTGCAGCACGTTCACTTGTGCAGAGTTCGGCCAGAAGCTCTCTAGATTTTGGATACCCGGTCAAACATCAACTTGGCTCTGAACCTAAGAACTGATGACTCAAACACCGGGCTGTTCCAGTAGAATTCGTTAGCCAGATCAACTGGAGAGTGCAGCATCATCACCTGGCAGAGTTGCCCATGACTCTTAACATGCTAGCCGAGAGAGATACACAATCCTTAACTTTGTCCTGCCTGCTTCAGTGCAATGCTGCACCGAGTCGTTCACTCCCTGCACGATGGGACTCGACCTGGAACCAAGGCATTCTGTGTGCAGCTTGGCCTCGTGCATGACTGGAGAAACAAGGCTCTAAGGCCTTCTCCAAGCACTGTCAGTCTATTTTGATGGAGCCTGAACCAGGCGAACATAATCTGAAAAGACCACCCAAAAGACAATGGACTCATGCCAAGAGTGGAGCCATAGATGGTGCGGACAAAGTAGAAAGTTGCACTGAACCTTCGGTCGAATGCCCCGGACCAACAACATGGTGACACGCATGCATTGCATCTCTCGGAGCACGGCCCAATAGCACCGGTGAGGAGCGCAAAGGTATAGGAGATAACAAACCTGGACCACAAAACTTTCACCCACCATGGAAACGCCGCTGTCTATGCCGCCGGCATGTATCCAAAATACAACAGTGCGCCCACGTAGTGCCCTATCCTCGGCTCTCTTGGCTGACCGTGGAACACAAGAGCTCTGCTGACGCAAAATCGGGTTTCCGGCTGCATTCGAGTGAAATAATACAAGCCTTGTCGCACGAGCTTCCGCAACATAGATTGCATGCGTCACAGTTGACAAAGCTTGGGCAGGTGCACGAATATGCGAAGACATACAAAGCTGATGATGCGCTAGTGAGAAATGATCTCCACCACCAGTTGTAGTCCTGACCGATGCGACTGGTTTCTGTCACACGCACCCATATGCAAACATGTCGGACTCGCAGACTGCATGGTTGGAGGTGGGGAATTGTTTTGTCCTGTTTTTGCCTTCTTTGGGAACGGGGGGGTTAAGGGCTTGGCGGGGTGGGGGAGGTCGGGAAGTGTAGTTTTGAAGGAGGGGAATAACATAAACAGTAAATAACAACTGTGGTAGTCATAGCCATAACACTAGCCACAACAATAAAGGATAGAACAGTTGGTGGTATTCATTCAGCACGCAGCGGAATCCTTCCACCAACCCTCAGCTTTACCTGTAGTGCACATGATGTGAAGCACGGGCGGACAATTTTGGCTGCACATTCATCAGTGTTGTGGAAGGGGGGGCACATGCCCCCCCGTCCGTCCCTGTCTAGGAAATTTCCGCCCGGGCCTTGGGGCCGTAACCGATTCAAGAGAAAGGCTGGCATCCGCCAGACATCCATGCACCGTCACCTACCCCATCTGGGGAGGGCGTGCGGGACTTATCAGCAGGTGAAGCTGTGAAGATCTGCAGTACCTGAACAGACGAACTGCTGGGATACCCTAGCGAGTGGCACAGCTTCTTGCCGGAATCCTCTTAGAGAACGCTACACCGTACCCGAAGGTCGCGATGTATGCATGGTCGGCACTACAAAAAAATTACGAGTCGTCCTTCTCAGGCATCGTTTGCCTGGTTTTTCTTTCGTAGCACCACAAGCAGAACACTTGAGGTGCATGGAGCAGCGCAGTCAGTTACGCACAGAGTTTTCCAGTCGTTCATCACGGTTGAATCTCTTGTGCACTTCAGTCAGCATCTGATGCCCTTCACTGTTGTTCCCTGTACACGATGGACCTGACATGACCTGACATCATACTCGGCATTGAACGTTTGGGCAATATTACGTGCACATATGGGATGTGGATAGTGGGCTCGATGTCAGAAAATAGTGGTCGTTGTCTTCCAGCCACGGGCTTCATTCGACAGGTGTAATGAGGAGCCATGACGGGCTTTGCTAGGCTTGATTGGGTAGTAATGCCCTGCATGGAGCAGATTTTCCTGCAGAGAGACTGACTGTCACGATGTTGCATTTCATTGAATGATCAATCTCTACGGCCTTGGCGCTGAAGGCATCATCGCTTTCAAAAAAGGCGCGGTATTACAGGATGCGCAGGCCATGCGGAGATGCAGCGAGCCGCTGGGAAGGCTAATTGTCCTCACTAGTCACTGGTGGAATTCCGGATTTTCGGAGTGGAGTTCATGAATCAACGATATGGCGGCGGTCGACGCATTCGCTGTACCTGCCCCTGTGCCCAGGGCTGTAGCCGTGACCGTGGCATTGACCATTTGGTAGCGGAGTTCCTGGCGACGGCAATCCACTCGGGCAAGGAAGCAAGAAAGGCTGCGGGCGTGGTCGCGGTGCTCGTTCCAGTGCTTGCGCCCATGAACACGGGTGTTGCTGTCCCTGCACCAGTACCATACACAGGTGTCGGTGACAGTGGACCTGCAGGCTTGGCATGGACCACAGGCGTCGGCGGTGGTGGGCTGGCAGGCTTGGCAGAGACCATGGTAGAGGCCGAAGTCGGCGGAGGCGGCGCAGCGCAGCGTCTTCAGCGGAGGTGATGTGGAAGAGGGCATCACAGTCCCCCCCTCTGTGTGCTGCAGGCGTGGGTGCGGCGGAGCCTTTGGCCTTTGTTTTGCCCCTCGTTTTTGGGGGTCCCTGTCAGTATCAAGAAGGCGCTTACGTAAAGAGCGGGATTTCTCGGAGGGAACCGAAGGCGGCTGCTGCACAAAATTAACAAGGCGAGTCGACGCCGCGGCAGCACTACAGCAGCCACACAAGGCACTCTTCTGAGCATCTGACAAGCCTTGGTAGACCAGTAACTGGTCACGTTCAAGGCACACATTACCAGACTCGCTAGGATCGAGTGAAGCAACGGAAAGGGCCTCGTCCGGATCATCGTGCAAGCGCCGGAGGGCCCTGTTGCATTTTCCCACCTCAGGTTCCTGAACACAACACAACATGTTGCTCCATAACATACGCTCGGCATTGCGCTCGTACGCTCAGCTGGGCAGCTGGGCTGCATTGCATTGTGCCTCCAAAGCACCTCCCTAGACAAAAGCTGTGTCGAAGAGCTACCCATTACTGCAGCCGGAAACGGTGTTCCAGCACGTGTCGATGGGCAGCTACTTCCTGCAAAGTAGCCACTTGCACGCACCTCGCGTTACGACTAGTGCAAAAGAAAGGTCCAGCAGCTTCGAAGCCAAGACAGAGAAGCAACAATGAAGATGACTGGGTAGCCCCTAGCAAAGCAGCCAGGTTGCCACTGAGGAGATCACTCTCCCAACCTCGCACAGCAAGGCCCTAGCGTAGCCACAAGACTACCAGGGGAAGAAAGGGCACAGCTGGTCCTTGAAGCCGACGATCCATCCGACCCCCCCTTGACGGGGGTCTTGACAGCCCACAACGTCCAGCAAGTTGGAGCCTCGAGAGCTCTTGCAGTTACAGGCCCCAAGCCCACAAAACTTTTCACGTGTGACCTTCAAGCCCACTTGGGCCGACGACTGCCATGCAACAAAGTGACTGTTCTGTCGGCCACAAGACGTGGCAATGCAGGCACAACGTGAAGTAAAACATGACGTGTGAAACCCAATACTTACAGTGACACAAAACTCACTGCAAAATATTTGCGGTCGGGGCGAAGGCCCCTAGAGGTTTTGGTGCGCCAACAAAACATTGTCTGAAATGTGGCACCCTGGCCTGCTGTTCCCACAGAACGCGAAGAACCCCGCCCGTCTCGTCTGGCCACTGTCCGTTCCATCACTTCTCGGAACTGACGAACTGTCGACACACGAGACCCTTTCTAGGTCTTGGCGTCTCCTTGGTGACCTTGACTGTCTCTGTGTGTTCTGCCTGACAGATCTGGTGTCCTCCGACCCGAATTCTCGAAGTCGACATTGAGTTCGACGATGTCGGTCGGGAAGTCTTGATAGATCGTGCCCCGGATCTCGATTTACGCGTCGGGGTCGGTGCTTTCGATACTGCTTTGGGGGCTGCTGTCGGACGTTGATCGTTCGCAGTTGTTATATCATCTACAGACGAGGCTCCACGTCCTCGTGAGCAGTAGACCCCCCTGCAGCCGGGAGCGCCATTGCATCTCCTCCGAATGTCATGTTTGTGTCGGCGCTCCATCCTGACGTCATCGTTGTCGGGAACTGCTAGAAGTAGTGCACGTACCAGTAGGAAGAGCCTACGCTACGGCTGTAACCTGCGAGGGGTTTGGTCCAGATATATCGCTCACTTTGAACATTGATGTAGATGTTGAAGATCTGGTATGCTACACTCACTTCAAGTGTGTCCCCGTCCCTCCCACAAAGCAGCTGAAGCTGCGCTTTGTCTTGCAAAGGAAAGTGGGATGGACTGATGTATTGCTAGGCCGAAGAAATAAGATGAGCTACACATTGCTGGAGCTAGTTCTTGATCCACGGGGGTTGCGATTACGCAGAGCTTGTAAACTGTCGCCTTATATGACCCGAATTTCGGAGTCATAGTAGCGTTGATTGACCACAACAATACCACGGCTGTAACTCCCTGAGCTTGCTCACGCAGGTGCATGCTTGCAAGTTGAATAACAATCATCATGCGACGTCAGAGAGCAGGTGGTGTTCATGAAGGCTTAAACCAGCAGGTCGCCGTCTATGTTCGCGATTGCCACGATCTGCTCCTCAGTCTCTTCAACTTGCTGTATCCAA